ATATGAGTTAATCATATATATACTGTCAGTGTAAAAAAAAAATTATACTGGCAACAAATCATATATTTTAATAGTGTCATGTCAATTGTTTATTTAATAAAATAAAAATAGAATAAAATAATTTAAAAAATTTGATTGGTTGCTAGTGTAAAAAATTTTATACTGGTAGTGTATGGATAATTAACTTTGTATATTATCTCTTTCACAAGGTTTCATGTTTAATTTCCAAAAACTGTTTTTGAGTTCAATTAAGGGGTTAGGATTTAAAGTTAAATAATTTTTGTGCATAAAAAAAGAATTAGAGATACTACTTTATTTATATAAAGACTGATTTGATCAAAATGAGAATGTTTAGTGTAACTTTTAAATTAAAATATGCCTTTGATTAAAAATTACAAATAAAGATATCAGATGTTACTTTCGTCACAATTATTTTTATCATTATTATTATCAATATTATCATTGTAACCATTATTACCAGTATTACTATCATCATCATTACTATTGTCACCATCATTGACAATGATGTTGACAATAGTGACATTAGTAATCATAAAGACAATATCTATTATGGTATTCTAATTATTCAATATGTTATTACACTTAATATATACAGTTACAATGCAACAAAAAAAATAAAGTTATCTAGTCCATTAAGGTTATCACACAACAATACCAGGATATTCATGTAATAGATATATGTAAAGGGTGTAGAAAACATAAAATAATTTGTGTTAATATAACTAAAAACATAAAGCCCTTTATTGGATTATATATAATTCATGTACATATATACAATATATATCAATATACACGGTTGAATACAAAATAATCATATTGTTGATCAAGAATCTCTATACAACTATACTACATCATAATATGTACTCCAAAACAGGTCATCTCCAACATGGTCATCCACCACACAACCATGCCATCCAACTCACTACATTTGACCTATTGTAACCAGGTCAAGTAAATACAACTTCAGACCTCTATGTGCACCTGGTAAACAACTTAAAACTAATTTCTTAGATTTTTTCATTTAAACTATAGGAAAGTCTAGTATTACTGTTAACGTAAAACAATTTGGATGTGAGTTTACCATAGTCTTAGCATGCATATATAGAATTAGCTTGCCAATTAGCTTCCAAATACTATGTACCTATGACTCGGCATGACCCCAATATTACTGAAATGTTTTAGTTGAAGTTTATGATCAGCAACTTGAGATACTCATATACTTGTGTGGGATAGACTTTGTTACCTATGCGTTAATCAACAACTCTTGACAAATATTGAGTCTTCTTTTAGGTTATTAAAAGAATGCCTTGTGAATCTCTTCTTAGGATATCTTGTGAATTTCTTCTTTTACTCAAGAAAATATCAAATCTTGTAGCCTTCTGATTAATCTTGTTTTTGTTGAAACTCTAACACACATATTGGTTAGAGCCGTCAAAGTAGGCCGGGACCCGTGGGCCAACCCGGCCCACCTTGAAAATGGGTCGTGCCGGGCCAAAAAAAAATTGAAGTTTTAAAGTAGGTGGGTATATCTCAACTCGGCCCACCCGGACTGAACCCGTGGTGGGTCGGGTAGCCCACCAACCCACCATTTTTTTTGCAATAAAAATTTAAGTATGATTTGTAATTAATTTTGTATGATGGGATATTGAAAATTTTTATTTTAGACTTTTATCATGATTTGTATTTAATTTTGTATGATGAGTTATGACTTATGACTATTGATGATGCTAATTTTATGACTATTATGTTAATTTATAATTAATTTAAAATTTTGAATTTTGTTGATAATTTTTTTTTAATTTTTGGTGGGCTGGTGGGCTGGCCCGTATAACCCACCAACCCATGATGGGTTAGGCCGGGCCAAATTTTTTTGAAAAAATCAAAAGTAGGCCAGATTGGGTTAGCTTATTTTTAAAGTGGATCAAGGTGGGCCAGCTCACATGGACTGGGTTGGTCCATTTTGACAGCCCTAATATTAACACATTAATGAAAACTCTTCTCTTTTAAAAATTGAAACTAAAAATTTTCAATATTAAAATCATATTTAGAGAAGATTCAAGAAACTTTCTAATGATATTTTCATTCTGGAAAGGTCGCTTCCACAATGTATGAAACAATTGTCACAAAATTTTATCAAGTTACAATAAATTATTTTAAAATATATTTTATTTTTAAAAATACTTTTTTTCAAAAGTACAGTTACACGGTCCTAAATAGTGTCATTATTGCTTAATTATTTATATGAGGTTATTATAGTAACTGAGAGTATACGTTTAGTTTGATTAGGATTATTTGTAATATTACAAAATTTTATGAGTTAATCATTTATACATTGTCAATAGGATTATTTGTAATATTACAAAAACCCTAAACCCTAAACCCTAAACCCTAAACCCTAAATCCTAAACCCTAAACCCTAAACCCTAAAAAAAATTTACACTGACAACCAATTATATTTTTTAAGTTTTTCATGTCATTATTAATATATTTATTTTTAACAATGACATGATATAATTAAAAGATATAATTAATTACTAGCGTGAAAAAAACTTTATATTAGTAATATAGAAGTGATTAACTCAAATTTTATACCCTATCTAACCTCTTGGCGTTTGTGTGAACTCAACAAACCACATAATGACAATGGGTCCGTGCAGGTGAATAATAGGATAGTTGTATTCATCTTGTTTCGGATAAAAATCCATCCTACATTTGTCCTATACTCACATGGTTATTTGTTTAGTGAATACTTGCAAATTTTATAAATACTCACGGATATTTATAGATATTATGAATATTTGTGAATTATTTTTAAAATTTAAAAAATATTATAAATAACTTTAAATTCATATTTAATGTTAAATATATTGAAATATTAAAAATAAATAATTAATATTAATTTTTGAACTTATAATTAATAATAATCTTTTAAAATATTAAAAATAATATAAAAATATAAATATTTAATAATATTATTGAACGAGTATAAATGAGTATTTATTTAAATTACTCATTTATTATTTATAATAGATTCATTTATTGTTTATAGTAGATTTTATATACAAATACTCACATATACAAGTATTTTTACCATCCTACGCATAATTAAAGGTGCCAAAATTTTCCACAAGTGTTTTTCAGTTTAATTCTTTTCTGAGAAGAAAAAGTCGCGTCAAATACTTTTTTTTTAATGAAAAGTTCTAAAATAAATTGAGTTACTTATTTTTATAGAAAAAATTTTGAAAAAGTAACTTTTGTTAAGTTAGAAGGAAAAAAAAGTGTTTTTACAGCTTAAGGAAACTTATTTATTTAGTTTTATTTTTTAGTTCCAAAAAAATCATATTTTTAATTTTTCACTATTTTTATATTTTTGTAAATTGCGGGTTTTCTATGAAATAATTGTTACATTATTACTTTATTTTACATTATACTTATTCCTTGTATTGTTTTAATTTGTTTCTAAAAATTATTTATTTATAGTTAAGATTTTTGAATTGTGAAATTACTTTCTAAATAAATTGAATTCTTTAAATTAATTTATATTTAAAAGGTATTTTTATCATCTAAAAACTCTACTTAAAAATAACATAGAAGGTTTTAAATATTTATAATTTGTAACTTAGATTTAATTTTATCTGATTAATATTATTTATACTTATCATCTAATTAAAATAAGTCATAAATTAATTTTTTTACCAAACAATTTTTAGCTTAAAACTAATAAAATAAAATTTACCAAATAATTTATATTATTTTACTTAAGCCCTTATTTTTAACTGAAACTTTAAAATAGTTTTTAAGCCTAAAATAAGTTGATCCAAACATAATATAAAAGTTTCTCTTGAGCATTCAAGTGAGAATAGTTATAGAGGGTAAATTTTCTCTCTAAATAATTAATACAACTGCATATCTAAACCTTAAAATTGCGATTATTTGTTTAACTAAAATATTTTATGTGAATTGATTA